CCGTGTGCAGTTGAAGGGGATGAACACCCTGATAAAGGATTTGGGGAGCAGGGTGGGAGTGGATGTCCTGCTCTGGGTGGTGCAAAAGCAGCCCTGTGCCCTGTGCGTGGGCAGGGTTCCCGGGGCACAGCCACTCTTCTACAACCGCGAGGCACGCACAAGCCCTGCACCCTCCTGACCCTGCACACTGTTTTACAGCCACTTGCAGTCTAGTTGCAGCAAGACTTTCCAGCGGGCCATCATCAGCTTGCTGGAATCCCCGGAGCTGCTGACCACCATGCTCTTCCCAGGTGAGGGGGGCCACAGGCCTGGCTTGGGGGGGCTGCGGGACTCCCACAGTCCCTGCTCCGGGTGTTCTGGAGAGGGCAGGAGCAGTGCAGGAGCCTTGGCTCCTTCCAGAGCAGAAGATTGGCTTGGGGGGGGACATAAATTGTGTTTTTCAAACCAGCGTGAGACCTCTGCCAGGTTTGGCTGTGTGTGCTGGCAGCGCTGCGGGGCCTCTCCCGTGCCTGGGGGATGCTCTCCAGCCGGGACAGCCAAGCAGCTGGGGGCACTTCCCAGGTAGAATACACCTGATGGCTCTTTTTTTTCTTTTTTCACCCAAGCCCTGAACCTGTTCTGCAAAGCACTGGCCCTCCTGGGTCAGTCCCAGTGGCTGCGTCCAGGTTTACAGCTCAGTGGTGCTGAGGCAGGGGAGAGACCAGCTCAGGGAAGATGCACGTTCCCCACGGTACCAATAGAAATCCGACCAAGACATGAGGAACTGGGAGAGCTTGGTGACAGATAAGACCAAATTAAGCCCCAGTTTGCTATCACTTTCAGGTCTTGTGTAAAATAACATGAAACACAGATTAATTTGGACTAAATCCCACGGTGGCGGTGCTCCTCCTGACCTGCTGGTCCCACTGACCACATTCCCAGTGCTCCCCTGCAGAAGTCACCGCAGCTCAAGCAGATCACCCATCTCCAGGCCACGCCATGGCCACGCTCCCCACCCCGGGGTGGTGGGTGCTGTAGAGCCAGGTGCCAGGGACCTGCAGAAGAGCCTCAGCTGGCCCCGAGCAGGGCCAGATTCCCCCATCTCTGCCACCCCTAATCCCCCTCCCCTGCTTAACTCTGACTGCACATCCCTGACCCCTTCCCCTCTCTCTCCCCAGCCTCCTGGTGGATCATGAACAACAACTGACCCCGGGCAGCCGCTTAAGGATGCGGAGCACTCGGCACAGCCATCGCCTTCGCTCGTGTTCGTCACCTCCCTGTCCCTCGTCCCCTCCTGCGGTCTGGCGGGGGCTGCCCGCCCATCGTCCCTGGCCGTGTGTTACCCTTTTGCTCTTTTCATGTTAATTTATTTATTCCCCCCACCAGGACAGTCTCTGTGCTGCCTGGGGGGAGCGGGGCACTCCCAGCAGCGCTCGTGGGAGCTGCGTTCGGGGGTGCAGCCTAGCCCTTGGGGGAGCACTGGTCTGGTTGCTGCGTCCTCTCACGCCCCAGCTCCTCTTGCTCCCCATGCTCCTCTTCCTCCTGGCTCTGAGGACAGGCCGAGGCTCCACAGGGTGCTGGGATGGGCTGGGGGCCATGGCTCTGGCCAACTGTGGCATCCCTGTGCCCGGCCCCCCAGAGCCACCCTGGGCCAACAGTGGCTCTGCCCAGGGAGCCAGGCCACCTCGTATGGATTGTGAATAGTGTTTTATAGAAAAAAATTTAATTAAGTATTTCTGGCAAGCCGTTGCAATGAGTCAAGCCGTTGCAATGGCTTTGAGACTGGACTCGTGCTCCCCCAGCTCTGCCCATGGCTGTGCACGTCCCCCCAGTAAACCACTGCACACCTCCCAGGGAAGGCGAGCGTGGCTAATAGCTCTGTTCCTTCATCCTGCGGCTCAATTAACATAAACCAGAGTTAGCACCAGTGCTGCCAGAAAGAGGTTGTAGCTGAATTAATGGTGACGGGGGTCAGTGGCGGGGGGCACGAGATGAGCGGGGAAGCC